CCTGGAATCTCCGTCAAGAGCAGCTACAAGCTCTGAGACAAACTGGAAACCAATCAGACCATCAGAAAGCAGTGGGGAGGCGTCCCATCTTCCTCGGTTCACACAGGACTCAGAAAGGGACCCGCAGGCTTGGCTCATGCCTGGCTGAGCGTCACCCGGGGAGGCACAGCCAACATGCTGGGTAACCTCACCACCGGCTCCCCGACGGAGCCGGCCGAGGCTGCTCCTTTCCACAGGTGGAGCAGTGCTGTGAGGAGCTGGCTGGTTTACTCACCACCTCTAACTCACATATCGTATCATTTCAGGACAAAATATACTCCTGTTCGAAAGTTCTAATTGGAATGAACGCACGCTACAACTGCATCAGTCACAGAGATGTCAGTGGCATCGCAGGAAAGGCTGACATGAATAATAGAAAATAATGAAGTACACCATGATACTCAAAGGCTAGAAGGACATCCCAGGGAGAGCTTTCGGGGCACGGGACCACGAGTGGACACGAGGTGAGTTCTGGGGGTCCCTGGCAACCAATAATGTGTGTGTTCTTATAGTTCAGCCAAAATACTCTGATTGTGTGTGTGTGTGTGTGTGTATATATATATATATAAATAAATATATATATATATATATATAATCTATATATATATATATAATCTATATATATATATATATAATCTATATAACGTATAAATATAGTTTTTAAGCCAGGGAGGCAGAGCTAGCCCTTCACTTTTCCATTGCTCTTGGTTTTTCTTCCTTTTTTATCTCCTCAGAGTGTCCATGCAGTGGTTAGTGTCCCAATTGATCACATTCTCTCTGTCTGCAGCTCAGTGCCCAAATATCTGAGGCGTCCCTTCCTGAGAATTGATCTCAGTGTCTCCTCCAAAAGGAGATGCCAGGCTCCTCGAGTCACCCGGCAGGAAATGTCACTTGTGGGCCTTATTGAAGGCCATTGTTCAAAAGAGTGACTCTTACAACGCTGTTACAGACCCATAATCTGTCATCAGGGACAGCAGAGGTTCTCAGCCACGCAAACGTGGCATCATTCTGACCATGGGATCAGAAGAAAGCTCGGAGCCTTCTCACCCCAGTTGGAGGGTCAAATAGTGAGAATTGGTGAGCCATCTGTGGTCTATTTCTGGATATACGTGTTCCCAACCGAGAGGCCTTAAACACTGCCATGGACAATACACATATGTGCATACACACACGCTAGGACAATGACCAGAAACAGCCCGTGTGGCTGTCCCCTGCTGGCGACACTACCAGGCCTGCCTGTCCCCACATCCCCCACCTGGAGGGTCCCCGCTGAGCCTGCCCCTCCCACGCAGGACGGCTGCCCCGCGGGGGTCTGTGTGCCCCTCCCACGCAGGGCGGCTGCCCCGCGGGGGTCTGTGTGCCCCTCCCACGCAGGGCGGCTGCCCCGCGGGGGTCTGTGTGCCTCTCCAAGCCTAACTGCACGGCTCTCGCCTCGGTTCCTGCAGCATCGACTTCACCTGGGGGCGCGAGAGCCACCGAATCGCAGGTCCCCCTCCCCCATCCCGGGGTTCCCTGAATCTGAACTCTCACAAGGCCCCCGATGCCTACGCACATGGAGCCTGAGCAGCGCCCCTGAGGGGTGCCCTGCGCCTGTCTTTCCTGAATGCAGGGCTAGCCCTGGTCCCCTGTATCCCGTCCCTGTGTCTCCTGCAGCAGAGCCTCCAGGTGAGTGACCAGGGAGGGGCCAGCGGAGAGCAAGGGGGTCGCTGTGTGCTGTCGTTTCAGGGGAAGCACTGAGCTCTTCTCCCTGTCCGTCCGTCCTTCCTTCCTTCCTTCCTTCCTTCCTTCCTTCCTTCCCTATTTTTTCCAACATTCACTGTTCTTATTCTGTAAATTACGATTCAACTTTAGAAAACACATCATTACATACCCAGTTAAAACATACAGAAACACCGTGCACTGTTCATGGGCATATTCCCATTCACTACATTTTAAAAAATATAAAACCTTCAGAAGGGTCGACCCCTGGGGTAGGTTAGGGCTACACAGCAAGCTTCATCTGCATTTGCTGCATTTCTTAGAAATTCACAAAAAGCTATGCAGCACATTTGGGACAACGATTCCAAGGTCATTTGAAAGGAACTACCCAGGGCAAAGCCACTGTGTGGGGCAACTCCAGCTGAGCAGCAGCTTCCGGTTTCCACAGTCTCGCTGAGGCTCCAGGAAAGCATGTCTGGAGAGGGGGAGGGTGTCCCCGGGACGGGGGAGGTCGGGGAGCGGCTGGGAGGCGGGAGGCCTTGCTGTCGCCCGGGAGGTGAGGCCGGCCCTCTGAGCAGGGGGGCGTCCACCTTACACGATGCACCTTCCGGAAGCTGCGCTCTGGCTGCTAAGCACACAAGGCAGGACCCGAAGCAGCGCGGCCGTGGGCGCTGCTGGGAGTCCCAGGGGGACGGCACCAGTGTGCAGACGGGACACAGGGTGGACCATCGCATGTGGCGTGTGGGAGATCACGGGAGGCAAAGGGGACGCAGGGGCTTAGGTCTAAGCCACTGGGATGACAGCTGCCACTTCCAAGACAGGAAAGACACTGAGGGAGGCAGGCTCTGTTTCGCACTGCCCCCTGGTGTCGGAATCGACGTACATGCCACTCACACAACCAACCTGTGTGCAGGCAGCTTTATACGTATACGTGTCTGCTGGAGAGCAGGGGGGTCACAAAATAAATATAGACAACAAAAAAAATATAGATACTCACGTTTTAAGGCAACATAGGGAAAATCAGTATTTTGAAAGGAACATTTTCTACCTCTCGTCCCTACAAACATTAAATGTTCAGCCAACAGGTTAAAGGCGTATATTTCTTCTTTGAGAACTAGGGATTGGCATTAGGCACTGTCAACCAACTGTTCAGGGTCTACTTACATATTCTTCTCACCGTATGAATCAAGTGCTTTGGGGGAAAAAAAAAACTCACTGAAGCTTTCAGAACAAAACCTTCCTCTGATAGTTTCCAGAACTGCACTGCAGAGCGTGCGATATGAAAACTTTAAAACCTGTTTAAGGGGCAACCAGATATGCAGAGAACCTTAAGATCATTTTTCTAAATTACACTGTAGGCTCTATTTCCTTTCCAGGGTTTGATTTTGAGTCCCTAATACCTTTGCAAGCCTCTATCATAAGAAAAACCCCCCAAATGAAGATCTGTGGGGACAAAGATGGCCATCATGTCATTTATCACCCCAGAGAAAAGCAGCGAGTAATGGGGCAGAGGGACGCAACTTTGTCAGGTGCAAACCGCCAGCTCATCCCTGTGCAAGCAAACACAAACCGGTGTTTTGCCCTCTTCCTGGAAGATCCCACAACCTTTAAAACACGAAGAGGCCATGATGCCCCAGGGCAAGCTGTAAAATGCGTGGCGCTCGATGAAAAAAAGCACAACTGCACGCGTAGCAGAGTTGGCAAGGATTCATGCTGGACTGCAGACATCCACCTGTAAAACTTCCCCGATGCTATTTACTTTCTAATTTTGAATATAAAACACTTTCAAAAGGTGCAAGCTATACTTCTAAAATCGCTCGCCAAAATCGACTTATAATAACAATTAGTTGTGCGTTGCAGACACGTGCCTCAGCCCTCGGCACATACTTTCTTGCTCGCTATTTGTGAAAACTCCAAAAGCAGTGCATTCTGGCTTTCCCAGGCCAGGACCATGGAGTGTCCGCAGGACTTGCGGTGCTTGTGCAAGCACTGCCCCCTGGTGGCAGAAGTGACGCATTATGAAATTTGCTCTACAACTTAGCTGTTAATAATTTCCCCAAAGGCGTCGCTTTACTGGTGGACGTCCCTATAAACGTCCGGGCTCCTGAGTGCAGGACCTCAGTGCTGCAGCTGCCTCCATCGGGCCCGGCCACTCGGTGGGGCAACCTCAGCCTGAATGAGGAACGTATTGGGCTCTGGGTACGGACAGCACTTCCGTGAGCAGCTCTTTCCACCCACAAGAGGCAAAGACGGTGCTGACAGAGCATTTCAAGGCAAATGGAAAAACATCCCCAGACGATTTTCAATTTTTTAAAAATTAAGGCAGTGATTTTTTTTTTTATCATTGACCAAAAGCCTTTTTTTTTTTAACTTTGCAGTAGTAAGTAATGTAGTGGCATCTGATGAAGCTCATGTTGACAAACTAGATGGGTCAAATGTATAGAAGTTGTTTTTTTTTTTTTAATCAAGAGAAGAGACGAGGCACAGAAAAGGCTCCTTCTGACCCTTTGTGTGCATTTTACGATTTGCTCAAAATGTCACAGTTCATGACAGGGCAGGATTGGAACTCAGGTCACATGACGCCTACACTCCAGAATGCACCACCAACCCCCTGCCCAGGGCGCGCCAGCTGCCTCCACCTCTTGCTGTGACAAGCATCGCCGCAAAAAAAACAGCTTCCTTTGCACAGAAATTGTTTTAGATCTTTGCCAGTGAGTTTTGGGATAGGTTTCTAAAGGCAGGATTCCTGTGTCAAAGTAAATACACACATACGTGGCCTAGATCATGCCACATTCCCCACCAGAAGCGGCAGCGCGTTGCATTCTGCCAGCGGTGTACACGGGGTCCCACAGCTCAGCCCGCAGAGAGCGCTGCTGAACCTGGTGCCTTCTGCCAATCTAACAGATGATAAACGGAGGTTCGCTGTAGGCTGGACTCATGTTTCTCAATTATGGGTCAGTGGAACCCTTTGTACCACTTACCTTCCCGTTTCTGGGAACTTTCTATTCATACTGACCTACACTCACTTCCCCTTTTCTGTTTCTGCAAGCCTCCCTCTTACATTTGTCATTGGGTTGTTACGCTGCTTCTAACAGTCTTTCTTTTCTTCTCTCTCTTTTGTCAATCAAGTAACTTTTTTTCTGGGAGTAGAGTTTATCAGTGCTGTCCTCTATCACGTCTCGATTTTGACTTAGGAAGGCCGCGCCAAGCCGCGCCAAGCTCTGCCCGGTGAGCAGGGACTGCCCGCTGCTCTCAGTACTCACGTTTGAGCCCCTGCCCGGCGACAGCTTTGAGGCGTCCTCGTCACTGTCCACCCCCGACAGCCGGGGCTGCTCCACCTGGAACAGAAGCACACGCCCCACGTCATTCTCCAGGTGAGAGCAAGTGCAGACAAAAAAGTCATCCTTTGCAGCTTTTCAAGCGAAAAACGCCCGTGTGGCCATACTCCCAGGCAGCATGATCTGCCGAAAAACGTGCGACCCCTGGCACGTCCCTCAGCTTATGAGCCTGAAAACTGATCTGAAACAGCCTGGAGCCAGGTGCTCGCTGGTCTGAAACCACAGTTTAAACTCACACCCATGGGGGTGAGCGTCCTTTTTTCCCAGCTTCTTTAGCTTAGAAAGTATGTGATAGTAAAACAGTAGTGGGCCTGAGCTGAGGCAGCCAGCTCAGAAAACCAGCTGATTAGCTAGGTTTTGAGGACTGGTAAGTTTAGAATTCGGTTTACCACGGCATTGCTGATTGGGTGTACGCAGAAACAGTTCACCCAATAGCTCGCTCCCCGTCCGTGAGAGGTCAAGAATGACGGTGCCGCGCTTTGTGGTTTACGAGCTTGTCCTCGTGATGCTGTGTGACCGCCGGCCACAGAAGCAGCTCCTGGGTCCCACCTGGCCCCAAATGAGAATCTCAGGAGGCCTGACCATGAGGACAACTGTCTTATGGTGCTTACGGGGCTTTTTAGGGACTTTAGAGAACGACTGGGTTAGGAGAATAAATAATGTCAAAATCATACAAAATTATCACGCTTTAAAAAATTAAAACACCAGTTTTAAAACAAGATATGTGCCCTCATTCGCTTCAACCAAAATGATACGCCTTTACGTATATCCTCTATTGAGATTACACACACACACACACACACACACACACACACACACACAAATATACACACAGGCACACACAAATATACACACAAATGTGTGTATGTATTTTTCCTTTAAGGCGATATAGTGAAGACTTGCTTTGGCGTCAAATGCCTTGATGTTCCTCTATTCTTAGTGTTCTGTCCTCTGAGACTTCTGTAGGCCCCCAGGCATCACAGGATTTTAGAAATCATTTAAAAACATTATTTACTCCAAACCCTCTTATCCCTGAAGAAGAAAATCCCAGACCCGACTTGTCCAGCAATGTGCCGTGTAAATGAGGGTGGACTGAAGGGCTCTGGACAGACGGGCTGGGCTTGACTCTGGCGCCCACAGGCGCTATGGTGGCCGGGAGGGTGGGGAGCAGCCTGGCTTCTTCACCTGTGCAGCGGGGCTGAGGGGACCTCCCTCGCCAGCTTTCCAGAAAGAGTAAATGAGGTTGCATTGAGCGCAGCATCCCAAACAACAAAAATGGAGAGAAACAAGGAATGAAGAAGTTAATCCCAAAACTGCAACAGATAACCCAGTAGGGATACGACAGCATGAGGGCTGTCTAGAGCAAAGTGAAATGAAATTAACGTAAGGGGAGGCTTCAAATGAAAGATGAGGCATATGAGGAAGGAATCCACACGCAGCCAGCCCGAGTCAGAGAAGGGACAGGACATGGCAAACAAGGAAGCCCTTAGTCGTCACGGACTGTGGCATGTGTGCGGTTTCATGCTTTCAGGGTGGTTCCCCCCAAACGATCAGACGCCAAGTCAGAGCGCCTGTCTCCACCGCGTTAGGCTTCTTCATGTTGCTTAACACAAGAGGCCTTCTGGCTTTTTTCCTGGCTTTGCTGGCAGTTTCGTCTCTCAGAAGGAGGTAGACGAGGTCTGGGATGAGGAGACGGTGACGTGACCGTGCCTGGTACCATGAGGACCAAGGACAGCGGTGAACACAGTCCAGCAAACTTACCTGCAAACTTCAGGGACCCAAAGCCCACATTTATAGTGACATGAAAGTCAAACACAAAATGCTGATTTTGTAATTTCAAGGAATCCTGACAGCAGGAAGGAGATGAGAAACGGGGAGGGGAGAGACACACTGAGAACAGCTTCTCTCGGACCCACAGAAACACGGGGGAAGCACAGATAATCAGCCATAAAAAAGAGAACCACAAAATCATAACCAAACCATCGGGAGACCCAAACAGAAAATGAGCGGAGGTTTGTGGGAAACGCTAAAGGCAATAAGCACCCCACGAGCTCAGCCTCGCGAGCCCCATTGGGACCTCCAGCGTTCACCCCGCAAGGTCACTGTCCTCCGGGCCACCCTGGCAGTGGCGGAAGCCTGGCTCTGCAGTCACAGACCTGGGGCCTAGCCCTGGACCCCGAGCTCATCTCCGTATTTCCTTGTACTGCAGTGTCCACATCTGCGAAGTTGGGGCGAATTGTAACTGTGACGCCACAGGCTCCTGCAGGTGGAGACACCAGATGTGCAGCCTCGTGGGCAGAGCTCAGATCTACACTACAGGGCGGAGAGGGTGATGCGGAAACGCGACCCCTCCTCAGCTCCCTCTAACCGGCAGGTGCCGGTCGCCTCCGTCCCGAGCTGGCAGTCCCAAAGCCTAGTCACCAGGATGGCTCTGTCTTTGTTAGTCTCATTTAATAATAAGGAGAAAATACCAGGCATTAGCAAAACGCCTTTTAAACAAACATAGTGGGAATAGTGAGTATTTTCTCTTCTTGGTAGTTAAATTATGGTTTTGAGGCTGTCTGAAGTGACTGTAAAACACCTTCATTGTTACTCTGTACTATGGCTTTGTAGCACTCTGCCTGAAATATGACTAGAAGATTTACTTGAAGACCAACAAGATCAACGAAATTATCGCGCAGCGTATTCCCAAGTCATAGTGGGAGGCGCAAACAGCACCCACAATCTAGCAGCAGACGGCCCCGTTCAACAGCCGATTCTCCGCCTACAGCATGGACCAGGGCAGGCAGCGCCTCGAGTCTTTTCTATCACAAATTCTGATGCTCAGCCCACTCACTGATCCTGGCTGCTTTGTCCGCGCTTAGCCGTACCCCACACTTACCACCCCATGCCCCGTCCTGGGGGTGGCTCCCAAGCCTCGGGCCCTGCCAGGCATGGGCGCTGTGCATGTAGCAGAGAGGGGGATAAAGCCCACCCCCCACAGAACTGCTTCCTGGTTCGAGTGCAGAGCACGAGTTAGTCTGTAGTCGCCGTGCGCACCGATAAGCCCCCTGTACCTGAAGGGACTCATATTCCTAAACACAGTTAGAAAACGTCCGAGGTAGGCTGAGTACAAACGTCTCAAGAACCCGCTTTCCCCAAATGCAGAATCTTATACATGTGCATTGAGTCCATTACCTTACTATTGCTTCTTTTATTAACTTTGAAAAATCCCAGAAATTTTTTCTTCTCTTTATCTGTCTCATCATTGCCAAGTGATGATTTTCTAAAGGTTTCTGGAAGAAAAAAAAATGTACTAAGTTAGTTTTCAGCATATGAAACAAGGCCTTAAACCCTTCACTTTAAAAATCTCAACGAATAAATCATCTACGCTCCAACTTGATTTTAGTTCTTATAAAAGAGTAAACCCATCTGCTATTTCTTTCAAAGCATTTCGAGCCACCTCCAAGCCCCCAGTCCTGTTCACGAGATCAACACAGACTCCCACTCTTCAGTGGTCAGGGTGGCATTTTTCTCGGGGTGTGGGTGTGCCCTGTACGAGGATGAAAAACAAATCAGATCCTCGGGCAGGGCTGTCCAGCAGAAAAACAAGGGGCCACACATGTAACTGTGCACCCGCTAGCAGCAGCATCAAAAGGAACCAGGTGAAATTCGTGTTAATGTTTCAGTTAATCCAGTATGTCTAAAATATTCCCATTCTGCCACGTAATCAATATAGAATTACTAATGAGATGCTTTACATTCGTCTTGGTACTGAGTCTTCAAAATGCAGTGTGCACGTCACACGGCACATCTCAGCTGGAACTGGCCCCATTCTAAGTGACCAACAGCCACACACACGTGGCGCGTGACAGGACAGCACAGCTCGAAGGCCTGCACCATCCGTGTGCATATCTGCTGTAAGAACTGTGAGGTAACAACGCTGACTAAATAAACCCACAGCCCGCCTGGCAGAAGAGCCCCACTCAGCCCCAGGAGGGAGCTGACATAACCACAGGTCTCCCAGGACCCAGAGTGTTTTCCGTTTAAAGCACATTCCCTAGGGGCCCATTTTCTCTCCTGTCGCTTTTCTGTTCCTGATCTCTGTACCCTGACTCTCCTCCCTTCCCTGCTGTTTTCTTCATCAGGGGTTTAGAACGGGCACTCTAGTGTCCCAGATGGGGACACTGAGGCGCACACCTGTCAGGAAGGTGACAGCACAGCCAGGGCCTGTGTTCCCAGGATGAGCAGGTTCCCGGCAGCATCACTGGGAACTCGGGCCCAGCCCAGACCCTCAAACTGGAAACTCTGGGTGGGCCCAGAGCCCTGCGCTCACCAAGCCCCTCGGGAGGCTTAGGCTGTGGGGACCGGTCTGAGGACGGTGGAGTGGAGAGTGCGAGCATGAGGAGTGGGCCTACGTGGGCGAATCCCTCCACCGCTCCCAGCAGTGTGTCCTGATGGGCAGGCTGGGGACGAATCGGACACAGTGCCCCACACCAGGCCACGTCCTGACACTGCAAAGCGCTCTGTCACCAACGCATCCAGCTCTTCTCTTCCCAGGCACACAGGTGCGGCAAGAGGAGAACAATTTAGATGTTTCTGAAGGACAGGAAAACAAGTCCCCACACCACTGCCAACTGCCGACGGCCAGCCCTGAGTCACTGGCGGAAGAGTGTGGACTGGGACTTGACAAAGTCTGCCCTCAGAATATCAACCCAAACGAGTTAAACGTCCATCCGTGTTTTTCTGCTGACCCAGAATGTCACATTCCCATTACAGAACAGACACGAAGGTCAGTGCATTAGTGACATACGCGTGGACACCGATACTGTCCCCCAACAACACCAACACCACACACGCATCTTCACGGAGTCACTGTAAGTGGCAAAGCTCGGGTTTTAGTCACGGGGGAGGGTGCTGGGTCCAGGCAGTGGCTCCAGCCAAGCCGACCAGTGGCCTGCACATCACACACACCCAAACCCACAAGCAGATGCTTCAGTCACGAGGCGTGCTGTGCGTCCACGCAGGGACACACGTGCTCGGGGATGTCACAGCGAGTCGCATCGAAGCCCTCTGTTAGGCAGAGCTGAAGGTAAGCTGGGCTGTACTAGAGGGCAGGCGTGTGGAAGTCAGTGTGCCTCAATGCACGTGTGTGCACCTTGCACGTGTCTAGAATGGAGTGGCATGTTACATGATAGAGGACATGCATGACACGACAGTGGCCGGCAGGAGAGAACATGCTACTGCCACACTACTACGACACCAACTACAAAACGATAGAGGGGTCGGAAAACTGTCAGGAAATTGGGCCTCTGGTTTCTCTCTCTGGACAGTGACTGGTCACCACCCCCGCCAAGCTACAGGCTCCTCTCAGCCTGTCCATGTCCCCAAATGAAATCAACCAGAACTGAGAAAGCTTCACATATGTGAGTTTTCTGCTCAAAATGGGAATCTATTCATGGTGCTTCTTACAACGTGTGACATTCATCTGTCCTGTCCTCGACGGACACATACACACAGGAGCACGGATGGTGGCCCAGGCCACAGCACTGTCACACATGACACCCATACCCGTGCCAGGCCACGCCGAGTGTGCCTGCATTCATTGTTTTCATAGAGATAAAATCTATTGTTAAACACATTAACAAACATGACATTTCTGTAAAATGTAAAAACTCATTGGGAATTTAATGAACTTGTTGGAATATGTGTGCATATAATCCAAAAGGTTTATTGAAATTCCAATATATCTGTGTGCATATGTCCATGTATATGTAAATATATGTGTGCGTGTGTGTGTGTAATTATATACACATACATATATAATTTATTAAGAAATAGGCTCAATGTCACAATCCACACTGCCCTACATTCTGCAGCAGGCAGGCTGGACCTCGAGGGCAGGTACGCACAGGTAAGCACAGGTAAGCACAGGTAAGCAGGAAACGGTGCCTCTTCTGCATGGACGGCTCCTCCTCTGCCCTAAACTCCTGTGTTCATAAAGACCTGTTTTCTACAACAGCCTCCTTTGTTTCTTACCAATCAGATCCACACAGCAAACCCTCCCACAAGGGAGTTAGGCCACACCTCATTTTAGCTGGCAAGATGCCCCTGGAGGTGTTGCAAGCCACACCTGCATCCCCCGGGGTCCTGCACACAGTCACTCAGTGCAGCGTCTGAGCCCAGAGCCATGCAAAGTGCAGCCTGGTGGGCCAAGCGCTCCGGCTAACTGTACCTCGATAGCTCAGGAAAGGCTCCGACTGAGTTTTGGTCAGAAGAGCTGGAAAAGGCAGGCGAGGAGAGAGTGAGGCAAGCTCTGAGATCCCCGGCAGCGCGTGGCCAAGGCCTCGGCCCCTCCACGAGCCTTGGTGGGCGCTGCCTGTGCCCGTACAGGGAAGGCCAAGTGCAAAGCAGGCCTGCCCTCCTGGCCCTGAGCTCCCAGAGCCTGCAGCTGCTGGGCTGCTAAATGCCACTGTGGAAGCAGGTGGCAGCAGAGTCCCCTGCTCTGCAAGCTGCCGGGCCTGGAATTCCCACAGAGGAAGGCCTCTGCCTAGCAACTGGTCTCCCGCAGCCCTGCTCCCTGGTTCTCAAGCAGCTGCCGGCTGGGGAGGAAATGTAACTGGAGCGGGGTAACGCAGAGGGCTCCCCACAGATGTCCTCCAGGGTGCTCTGTTTCCTTCTCAAACACTGACTGCCAGCAGGGTGGGATGGGGGCGCGGGGCGGGGGTGGGAGGCAAGTATTTCACAGGCATGTGGCACAGATCGGTCCAGACGAAGGATGCTGGCACTGGGCTGAAGCAGGGGCCCTGCCATGCCAGGTGTTTCTCCTTTATTTTCTGGGGCGGCTGCTGGGGTCCCAATGGAAAAGGCCCCTCAGAGGTGCCCAAGGCAGTGCAGAAGAGGACACTGGGGCTGATTCCTGCAGTGCAAAGGGGACGCAGGGGCTGTTTCCCCCAGTGCAGAAGTGCATTTCCAAGTCTGGGGGGCAGGGGGCTGCAGCAGTGTGTCCTCCCAGTGTGGGGACCAGAGGGCGCTGCAGATCTGCGGAGGTTTCCTGGGGACTGCTCAGCTCTGTGCTGCAGATGCTGCAGGCTTGCTGGGCTCCAGGGCCTGGTTCTAGCTGACTGTTCCTGGCTCTGTATGAGGTTCTACATCTGCCTTCCGAGATACACCTGATGATCGGCATAACACCAAAAACTCTGCTTTGTGTTAGGCGTTATCTTTCGCATAGTTAAATGCAGGGCAGTTTTTCTTTTCCTTTCCTTTCTGTCTTGCCAAATGAAAGTTTTGTTTCCAGAGACTCACAGAAACCAAATTTAAGTTGGACAGATATAAGCGGATAGACACTGCAGCTACACCCAGGCCAGGAACAGATGCTGAGAACAACCTTGTTTGCGTTTAACAATATAACTGACTCCAACACAAGATGCACTGCTCTCGAATGTCAGAGCACTTTTTTGGGGAGGAAGAAACAGTCTATGTGTCTTATATGTAACGGAGCTAAAACCCTTTCTTCAACGTCAAATGAGGGCTGGGGTGCAGCACCTGGAAGAGGGGGGCCGGGGGGGGGTCCCACTGTGATCACTCATTTCACAGTCAACTTGGTAATAAAAAATAAAAAAAAATCAATGTTTTATTGTAAGAATTTCATGTAGAAAAACATGAAAAGCTTGAATATGTATATATTTTAAAGGCCCAACTTGTTCAATATTTGTGGAATACATAAAAAGGCAACAAATATCAAGTGAGGCTTATTAAAATAGATACTTTTATAAAGTCCATTTTAATAATTCTAAGGTCAAAGAATATTAATTGGGGGTGTGTGTGGGGCATCTGAGAGTTGTTTAAACCCAGTCAGCCCCTTCTGTCAATCAGGCACTATCGGTCCCGGTCCAGCACTGGCCTCTCCAGCAGCCACGCTGCTCAGCGGCTCTAACGATGACCTCAGGCCCAGCACCAAATTCACACGAGGGGTGAGGTGTCTCTAACATCAACGGTGGCCGAGCGTCGTGCGTTGTCTAGAGGGAACGAACGGTAATTTGGGCAGCTTTAGGGAACGGCTCAGTGTATTTTTGCCACTGTTTGGATGATGAGCCGTTTCAGACGTGGGCCCCTGGAAAGCAACGCAGGACAATGCGGCTTCTGTGCGGGCCTGGGGAGTTCCTTCAGGGTGGATCTCAGCTCCCCGTCTCCCCTTTCCTGCCTCCCAGGAGCTCACAGGAGAAGGGGTAACGGGCATGCTCAGGACTCGGGGTAAAAGACGGAATTACAGTCCCGGCAGGAGAGCGAGCCTGGCTGGTTTCCGCCCAGCTCAGCTGTGGTGTGGACACGGCTCCAGCAGCCCCGAAAGTCACGCACCCGTCGTCCAGCGCTGCAGCGCTGCAGGGGGCGCTGGGGCGGCGGCCGGTGCTCCCGCGCGAGGGGACTCACCTCTCTTATTGTCCCAGGCGTAGAGCTCCTTGATGCCCAGCTCGTTCAGGGACTTGGAGAGCTGCAGCTCCTCCCCGGCCACGTTGTCCCGGAGCAGCACCACGTGCTCGGGGCTGACGTCACACTTCGCACAGATGAGCGGGAGAAGGCTCTGCAGCGGCACCTCGGGGCTCACACGCACCACGGCCTTCTGCGTCCGCAGGTAGTTCACCACCAGACGCACCGACTTCTGGGGGCACACGGGGACACAGGGAGTGCTGTAAGTGCCCCTTCTCACAACGCTGCCGCGGCGGATTCTATACCGGAATCGGGGCTGGCCAGACTGGAGGGGCCTGCGTCTTTCTTCCACAAACTCAGTGGGTCATGAGGGCAAATGGCATGCATGCTGAATATGGACAGTGAACGCCCAGAATAACAAATGGGCCTTAGCATCTGTCTTACTAATGAACAAACTGCTGACAACACAGGGGGATGGACACCAGCCGGGGCTCCCAGCTACAATCCAATGCGCACGCTGTCTGTCTGTCTGCCTGTCAAGGGGTTCGGACTAGACTTGACCACAAAGCACTCACGTACATTTTCTAAAGGAAGTAGTTTGGAAGGGTTATGAAGAGCTCACCATAAAGAAAAACCATCCCCCAAAAGACATCAAATGTTTGTGTAAGAAGCCAAGATAGCCACATAAGTATGTGAATGTCTGTATAGATGCACAGAGTGTGCATAGCTGTGCACACACAGAATTATATATACACACAACACCTACATAGATAGTTTAAGCTATAACATTTTAGTTTGCTTTTTTTAAAAAAAAAACCATCACATAGGAATCAGAAAGAAAAACAATCACTTTGACTAAAGCTGATTCCAAATGTCTACAGACAAAGTGGCCCATCAGAATAATTTAATCTGCCAGAGTTTCAAGCAGTCAATTGCTATTTGGCCTTCACCGGTCACCCACATGGTGTCAAGAGCCTGGTGAGTGGACACACTAAACGTGGGCTTTATATAGGAGGCACTGAGGCCGCCTCAGTCTCCTGTGCAGTCTGCATGCCAGGGTTCGATGAATTCTAGAAGGGAAGATGGAACACACGCATCCTTTCCCATGCCCCTGGAGCTAAAATCACGCACAGTCCTGGGCTCACCTGCCCCTGGGGCCAGGAAGGTAAGAGAAGCCACAGGTTCCTCCTCCCTGAACACGGATTTGGCTAAGGAATTCGGGAACACGCTTTCAAAAAACATGTAAATGGACGGCGTCAGTTAAAATGTATTAACCACCCAAACCTAGCAATTCACAGGGGATGGAATATTGGCCAAATTGACATTTTTAAAAGCAGGAAAAATTTTCTACATCCAAGAATGTAAACATATGAAATAGCACTGCTTGTAACTGGAGCAAAGCCTTATCTAAAAAGCACAATAAGCAGCTGCAGTTAGTTTTCAACAATAATCAAAAGCCTGAACAAAATCGATGAATATGATAAGATATTCTCCACCTGCAATGAGTCAACATTTCTGGCATCCGTTTTTCAAAAGAAACATCCCCTCCCCCCACCTCATCTAAGAAGATGCTCAAATCTATGTATCCTGCTGGCTTCCCAGGGCAGGGAGACCTCCAGGACGGAACCAGAACCTCTAAAACCACTCCAGGAGGGTAGCCACTGACTAGTTGTGGCTATTTGAGTTTAAACTAATTAAATGTTCAGTTTCCCGAACACAGCAGCTGAATTTCATGTGCTCAGTAGCTACACGGGGCCAGTGGCTATCGCCTTGCAAAGTGCAGGACGATAGACCATTTCCACCTTGGCAGTAAGTTCAGCTGGAATGCTCCGCTCTAGACTGGTTCCTCCTCTAAAATACCTAAAGGAGCATCGTTACAACAATATACATGCTCTGGAAACTTCTGTCTTGTAAAATAAGCTCAGTTTAGTGCCTAACTTTGCCTAGTATGGACGGAGAGACGTCCACCACAGCTGTCTGCGTGCGTTACTAAGATAACAGGGGCTCCACCAGCCCCCTCCAAAGCACTTCCAGCGTCCACGTGTGCCCCTGCATGACAAAGGGTCCCCATCCTACTGACCTCAGGCACCTTCGGCGGGCCAGGCTTCACCTTCTCTTCCGGAACTTTCTCTTTCAGGAACACAGTGTGCACATTCAGAGTCCCCACTAAAGTATTTGGCTTAAAACTCAAAGGCTGCTGGGTCTCTGAGGACCAGATCTCCAGGGCGTGGTGAGATGGGTTCAGGTGGTTCTCAAGGCACAGCTCCACCAGGAGGTCCATCATGGCGTGGCTGGAAAAGGGAGACATCGCGGTCACTGGGGGGGCCTGCACCCTCCCTCTCGCGGAGCTGAGTGAGGGCAGCACAAGCAAACCAGTGGGAGGCTGACAGAGCGGCTGTGCGAATGGCGGCTCACGAACTCCTCAGGCGTGATTTTACGGCAATATCTTACCGTTCTCAACAGTGATACACAACTATACCGAAAGGGCAGCCAGTACATCGAAGTCATGAGAGCTGGGAAGACTGTCACGTTTCTAGTTAAGTCCACGCATGTGCTGATGCGAATCCTGTAAGGTCAGTTAGTGCAAGTGACACTATAGGAAGTCCTCACTGAATCTCATCCATAGGTTCTGTGACTTTTAAGTGAAACGACATATAACAAAACCAGTTTTTCTATAGGTTCACTGATATACACAAGAGTCAAGTTCCTGCAGCGTCTCGTCACCGTTATAGCGAAATGACGCTGGCTGGATGTTATTCGAGGACCTGCTATACTGACAGGCCCGAGGTATCAAATTTTCCATTATTCGTGAATATAATGAAGCTTCAAACTGAAATAGCTTTCTTTATGTTGCTAAAAGAAAGTATGCATTTTTGAAGATATAAAACCTGAGAACATTACTTTTGAATGTCAACAATTTTCATAATGCTTGCATTACGAGCAATTATTTTACTAAGGAGGAGAGCAACATTCAGATTATCCCAAAGAATGGACAATTTCATGGCCATCTTTCAGATCTGCGTGGTCGCATGGTGCTATATTGAAAGCAGACCTCTCCTTTCCTAATTTCCCGAAAAGTGGCACATAAACCTCCCACGAAAGCATAGGTCCTTTCCTTCCATCTCTGTCTTAACCAGTAAGTGCACTGGCCACGATTACAGGTCATAATTATGCTCTCCAGGTGTCTGGTGATCAGGTGTGTGCAGGTGTGGGACTCGCAGCGTGCCTGCAAACACACAGCACCAGCCACTGCCAGCCACCACTCACTCGTCACTCACATGAGGGCTGTGAGCTGCTGAGGGCATGGACGTGGGGCAGGAAAATCACACAGGAAAGCCCCACGCCTCAGAGAATCCCCAGGTGCCCTATTTCTCAATCAATTGCTACAGGTAAGGACTATCAATAATGCTGATTGTTGGGCCGGCCGAGTGGCGCGATGGTTAAGAGCTGGTTTGGGACGCCAGAGGGCCCCGGTTCGGATCCCACATATGAGGGCCAGTGACACTGCCCTCTGCAGCTAAGATGCTGAACAACAGCTCAACCTGGAGCTGGGCTGCCATGAGTTGCCGGCGACGGCGTAGGCTGCAGCCCCTGCTGCACTGGGTTGCCATGGGCTACCGTGTGTAGCCAGCAGCCAGCGTGAGCGGCCAGCAGCCGCAGTGAGCGGCCAGAAGACAGCGACTGATCTGCCTCACCCGGGAACAGCACAATGATGGTGCCAACTTGGGCCAGTGAAGCAACGTCCTCCACAACTAGACTGAAGAACAAAACGACAGCAACTTGTCTGTTCCCCTTCCCCCAATTCCCCAATAAAAATAAATAAATTAATTAATTAATTAATTTAAAAAAATGCTGATTGTTTCAAAACCATCTCCACTGCAGTGTTCACCCGCAGCTACTCCAGGAAGTGATTAAGTAAGTCATGTCCTCTAATCAGGGCACTCTCAGGGGACACTGGCATCGTCTGTGACATTCGGGAGGCCCAGCCCTTCTCCCGGCTCCCTGGGACTCTGTGCGGCATTGGTGGGCAGGGTGACTAACCCTCACCAGGGCCAGCACGGCGGGCACAATTCTCGTGCCGCGAACTCGGATTCTTTCAATCCTGGGTCACAATCTTCTCTGTCTCAACAACAGCTTAAGGCACCAAAACGGGGAGCAGCACCACCCAAGACCAATGCTCCACTGAAAAGCCTCAGCGTGGAAAACAGACTTCTAACAAGGCTGAACTGACATGCTGGTGTCAGCACTGACTGCACAGCCCTGGTGCCCGGGGCCCCCTGTACACTCGCACTATCCTCCCTCGTCACCCCCAAGTCTGAGAGGCGGGGCTGCTCTCCTGGGATCTGGTGAAGGCGTGGGCCTGCGGTTGGGACCCTGGTCCATCTGTCGCCAGCTTTCGTGTCCCCTCTCATCCCCACCCAGGGTCCACTTCCAGCAAGTAAACAGATGTACACATACGCTGTCAAATATTGGAATTAATCTTAGAACGTAAACCCCAGAGATCACAAAAGCTACCAATGTCACCTTCCGTCTTTTAATCCAATAATTGGTAACATTTTTGAAACACTGACTGAGATGTTGCCACAGGGAGTAGGCCAGCTCTGCAGCCGGATGGATTTTTCCCCTTTGCAGAGAATAAACCCATCTCACCATAACAGAAGCCAGGACTTGGCACATGGGGGCCATTTGATGAGGGGTTGGGTGTCTTTCCCAGGGCAGCAGAGTGGCTTAGAGCACTCAGGGGGCAGCCCGCCTGGGGGAGTCCCAGCACCACCCCTTACCACTGCTCAGTTCCCACCTCTGTCCGTGCCTCAGTTTCCTCACTGGTGGGGACATAGTGGCAGCGTCCACCTGTGACAGTCTTTAGCAAATGGACATTTGTAAGGCATGGAGTACAGTGCCAGGCACGTCGGAAGTTCGGAAGAGTTTGCTAAATAAATGAATTAATTTGCTCCTGTCTTTTCTCTTCATCTCTCTCTTCCCCAACTGTCTCTAAGGGCTCTGAACGTAGAGGTGAAATTTATTTTTTCGGCATTTGTTCTGGTCTCTCTTTTTAAATTTATAAAGTGAGTAGAATTTTTTTACTTCTTTCTTTAAAATATTACTTTCCAAATGTGTATAGACTTCGAACATCTTTTTGCATGGGTCAGTGGTTTACAAAGGAAAACAACTGGTCTTCTTTCTTAAAGGATTTTTCTGAAATCCTGGAGGAGAGCTAGACCCAGCGATGAATGCCTGTGTGACACCCTGCCCCCCAAATGTGGAGGGCGCATGGGGACCGATGACAGTGAGCGGGCTGCGTGGGCTACACAGCAGGGACATGAGAGTCAGAGAGGCCCAGTCCGAGTTCCACGAAGCTGAGCTGATGAGGGCACTGTCCTTCTCCAGGGGAGGACACTTCTTTCTAAGTCACAAAGCCCTCCTCCAGCCGTTCTCGAGCTGTGGACCCTGGTCCCCCCTGGGCTCACTCTCGCAGGCCATGAGCTCGCCAGACCCTCGCATCCAGCAGAGCCAGGCCACGCTCTGCAGCGGGGCTTCTCCAAGCCTAGCGCATAACCCACAGTCCCGGGCGTGTTAAAGCAGACACTGTGGGCCCCACCTAGGGTTTCTGATTCACTCACCAGGTCTGGGCTGGGAATTTGCATTTCTAACAAGTTCCGAGGGGAACTTGGTCAGTCAGGGACCACATTGAAAACCACTGCACCCTAAGCCCTCGTGAAATGAGCACTTATGACATATACCTTGCTTGGAAAAACGGGTCCCTTGGTGCCAACTTTACAAATTACACTGAGGCAGCTGATTCTGGATGTGATGTTACCACACACACACAGCTTGCACGCTCTGTCAAATCTTAAACTGGTTCAACGTGGCCTAGTTTCTTCTGTGGGACCAAGGCCAGCAGCTGGCCCCAAGCCCTGGGTGAGGCAAACTCCGGCATAACCGAGTCAGAGCAAGACCAGGGAGGCGGTCCCGTCTGGCGGCATCGTGTGGCATCAGAGAGATGTGAGGTGGCCCAACGTGAGCGGGGCCCTCCCAGAGGTGGTCAGTCCTGACAAGGTCCCGCACAAGGGGACACTCGGACAGAGCACAGGACAGGACACTGAAGAGACAGGTGTCTGAAGAAGCCCGCTGCCAGGGGGTTTCGTCGGCCAGAGGCACAGCTCCAGGCTCACGGCTGGGCCAGCACCAAGCTGCCCGTCGCCTGTGCACACTGGTCATTTTGCAAATGCTGTCATTTCCTTCTGCTCGCTGGGATGTCCTCATCCCAGTGCCTCATCAAAGTTAGGCATTCAATGTGTATTTTGCTCCATGAATAAATCATTTTTTTTAACCTATCAGGATCCCACAAAATGAGACATCCCCTCTGTGTGACTGGTAGGACTCCAAACCAATACGATCAGGGAGCCTTCTGTGAACTATGCAATAGCGGGTCTAGGTAAGAGTGTGCCCACCTGTGCCCAGGATAAGCCATCCATAATCTACGGTAGCCCCTCACTGGCAAGATGTTCATAATTGCAGGTGGGTGACCCCAGTCTGCACAGCACAGTGATGTTTTTATTTTTATCTTTTTAGATTCCCTGGGATTTAGCCCAAACATAAAGCCTTGATAAGGCAGGAACATTGTAGGGTGGTGGTCACGAGAAACGGTGAGTTAGGACCTGGATGATCAAACCCGTCACACAGGCTGATAAGAAAGGGTGTTCAGTGAGGTTCACCTGTGGCTAACGTGGGCTCCGTGTCCCAGGACTGTTCTCTGAGGTTTTGAGGGCAGTGAAAACACACGGCTTGATACTATAACGGTGCACACACTTCATTGTACATTTGTCCAGCCCCCCAGAATGCACCACACCGAGTGAACGCTAACGTGAACTGGGGCCTCCGGGGGATGGTGCTGTGTCCCGGCAGGCCCGTTGTCTGTAATAGGTCCCACTCGGGGGGAAAAAGGGGGGACGCTGGTAGTGGGGGAGGCTGTGCGTGTGTGGGAGCAGGGGGTACGTACGAAATCGCTGTGCTTTCCTCTCAACTTGCTATCAACCTAAAACTGCTCTAAAATGAAAATAAAGCCTTAAAAAAACAGTATCAGCCAAACTAACCCAAACCAAACCTGACTATCAGCCTGTGATTTGGGGAGCGGCCTTCTTCTCCGGCGGACTGCCCAGCATCCACACTGCCCTTTGCACCCGCACCTCCTTAACTCAGAAGAGCACGCTGCCCTGGGCCCCTGCAGCCCCGGAGCACGGTCCAGGCCACAGGCCCATCATCAGAGAAGCCAGCCAACCGCACGGCTGCTCCCCACACTGGAGGCGGCGGCGGCAGCGACACCCCGGGGGGCGGGCAGAAGAAGGACAGCTTGGTGGGGGTCTCCACAGCCTTTCTTCTCATCACCTGGAACAGGCAGGCTGTGTCCAGAGGGAGCCCACTGCCTGTGCTGCTTTACAAGGGTCAGGACCTAAAAGTCCCTCATGGTTGCAAACGTGTCTACTGGAAAAGGGTGTGAGGGCCAGGATCACAGGACCGAATATGGAGGGAGGTTCCCTCTGATCTGCAAAGGGCACACCCGCCGTTTCCTGCCCGGGTCCCTTGGGGATGTGTGCCAGCTTGGACATGACTAATGGCCACCTCAAAAGGACACAGCCCCGACCCTCTAACGCCTGGCACAGTTGACGAAGCTCTCTTTCGGCGCAGGGCGCTGTCTCTTCAGCTTCTCTTTACTTGTGCCCCAATTAAAGTGATGGGGTCCATGGCCTCCTTCCAGCGGCCCAGGACAGTGCTGGTGGCACCGTGCCTCCAGGGAGGCCACAGCGCGTTCCTGAAGAACAGCCCGAAATACCGGTTCTCAATCTCTGTAAGAACACCCTGGGACTTACACAGACATTGCTTACGCCAAAGGAAGCTTGGGGGAAAAAAAATCACTGTGATTCGCAGAAGGGAACCAGCAGCTCCAATTAGTACTGTGCTCTCTTTACGAGGTGCTTTCATGTCAGGAAATAACATGGTTCGGGGCTGACCACCTATTACAAACTTCTTGCTCAGCCTAGGAGATGGTGGTTATGTCCTCTAATAAAACGGGGGAGAGAACCCATGTTGATAAACGCACTCGATCTATTTTAAGCAAGGGTCAGGAACTGGACTTCAGCCCACACTTGTAATATTAAAGAGTATGACTCATAAAGCCGATCCCCAAACACAAAGCTGCTGAATGAGCGATTGTTAGTACACCGGTGGCCCCATCAAGGAGGCCCGCAGGCGGCTGCGCTGACACCCTCTGTCCTCCAGGAAACCCCGGGGAGGGGACAAGAACGTGCTGCTTAGAAAGAAAATTACTTAATTCTCGGTCGCCATGGCTGCCCCTATTCTCACAGCTACACTGCAAAATACCACGGAGGTGGCTTCCACTGTAAGGTGGAAAAAAAATACAGACACAATTAGAAGCACGTGTTCAGTTTGAAAACGTTTTCCAACATCTTATTTTGACTTTTCAGGTGGGCAATGCCGCTTCTCCTTGTGCATTTGTGAACTGGACCCTGCGTGACGCATTAAGACAGGACCCCGTGGCCACTTTCCCTGGGAAACAAGGTAACTAGACTGATAGTGGTGAAGGTCTCATGCGTGTGTGCCTACCTACAACTCACCAAACTGTACACATGGAACAGGTGCAGGGTTTTGTTTGTTAATCATACCTCAGTAAAGGGGTTCTGTTTAATGTAACTAGAAATTGGCCCCAAAATGCAAGAATGGTGAGTGAACCATTACACGCTCACTAATAAAATGCCACGCGTGTATTAAAGTAGTTTACACCTGTCACATGACTGCACGCTCCTGAAGTTACAGTGACCTGGGGAAGTAGGGTCAGGACAAGGTCCACTCCATGGAACAAAGAAACAGAAACTCTCATAGCCTGCCTGTTGCTTGCACAGACGCTGGGAGGTCGGCCTGGGGACGGCCACACGATGGCCGCTTGTGTGGGCCGCCAGGTGGCCAGCCGCCACCGCCCGCAGCTCATTCCTGCCCCCGAGCCCTTCCTTGGGGACCACAGCTCCAGGAGGGCTCCCTGGGGAGCAGACCGCTGGACAGCCTTCGGGGAGCATTTGGGCATCAGCGAAGTGGAAGATGCTGCACCCCAAACTACACAGCTCTAATCCCAGGCAGACGCCAAAGCCAGGGCCGGTGTTCCTAACGTGTGTGTGCAAATAGCCTGTAAAATAGTAATATTGAGGTTGTCAGCTAGGCCCAGATTGACACCCCGGGCCCCGGGCCTGACCTGACAGCGGGGGAAGGACAACACGGCGGGATCCGCTGTCAGTCGGTGCTGAGGGCAGGGCTCCTCCTGGCAGCGCCCGGCACTTACCTGCCGTTCACCACACTCCTCTTCTCCAGCCCGCTGGGCAGAACCACGGTGAGGTCCACCGCGCTGTCCCGCGGGTCGTCCTGCATGGGGGGCGGGTTCTGCTGACTGACGGGGGACACGCCGCGGGGAGGGGTCTGTCCGCTGTACAGGTTCGGGGTGCCCGGCTTCCCAGGAGGAGCGGGGGCGCGGGCCTTCATCTTCCTCCTTCAACGACAACAGAGAAGGCGGAGTGAAGAGGCTGCTTCCAGCGCAGGAAGGAAGAACACCACCTCTGTGAATAAACGTCCAGCCGCTTTTAGGTTCTCCCCCATCATCCACTCTTACAAGCATTGAGCGCTCCTCGGAGACCCCTTCTGAGGCACAGGCCCTTTTCAAAATCAGTGTGTTGGCGCGTTTCAGTGCTAACAGAAAACGGGCAATTAAGAAAACCAGACGAAGCATTTTTGAAAGGAAGCATTCCTAGAAAGAACACGCCTAAAACGTGTTCACCTCTGGGGCTATTTGTACAGGTCAAGGTGTGGGTGGGTGTGGGAACCATGTCTCTCGGAGTCACGGGTGGCTATGTCACCCTGCCAGCCCAGGGTCTGCACTCTGCAGGCTGAACCCTGCCCAGCTCCGCCTTCTTGACCAGCTGGACGTTTGGAATCCATGGAGCTATGACACCGAGCATGTGCTGGGCGACATCAAGACACTAAGTTAGTCAGAAAGCCCATCAGACCAACATCGACTGACACCGGCCACTGTGGACACAGAAAGCTGTTTGGTGTCGAGCGATAAGTGACAGCGTCTTAACACCCAACCCCTTTCCTCTCTTTTCGCCTTGTTTCTGGCAATGCTTTGAATTCACAGTTCACCTTGCAGAAGCTTTCTAAACACCTGACAATGAGTCACCCTCTCTGATGAACATTTTTAGAAATGCTTGTCTTCTCCAGACAATTCAGGGAAGGCAGTGAGCTGATGACTTTACATAGGTATTTGTGTGTGTGTGTGTGATTACATGCATATTCACTTATTTTACATAAGAACGCATTTTCTATAGGCCCTGGGTATTTTATAATGGCTCCCACTGACTTGACACCAGGACCTATGCTACTAATAACTTCAGCAAGTTCACCTCATTCAGACCCAAAAATATTTTGCAGCTGAGAAAATTGACATCAGAGGGATGTGTAGCCCCAGCGAAGGCACACGGTGACCGGGGGTGACTGGTGTCAAGCAGGGGTGGAAAGCAGGCCTGCCTCGCATCTCCCAGGCCCACGGCCCGCCCTACCCAGTCAGAGGACCCTCAAAGGGGTGACAGCCCTCGGGGGGTTTAATTCTCCTGCACACCAGTCGTCTTCTGGGGGCGCTCGGGCCTGAGGTCTCACACATAGGAATTCCATTTCTGAAATTCTTCCTAAAGAAATAGCCCCACAGAGTGCACTGTGGGAGGTTCACAGATGCCTAGCACATCATTTACAATAGCAAACAACATACAACATTGTAACCACCGGTCAATGAGACAACGCGGGTAAATGATGGTGTTTTAAAACAAGGTTATGCCAGTATCGGTTCAATATTCTTTAAAAGCATATAATTCGATGTGCCAAAATGCTCAATCCAGATTTATTAAAAAACAAGCTTCAATGTACGTACCACCTATTTAGGAAAATTCTCTCTTTAAGAGAGGTATACATAATAGCAATAGACCACAAAACAATCTAGGAAGATAGAGAATTAGCAGTAACGCTCTCTCAGTGTGTGGTGCGTAGCACGACTATGTTTTACTGTTTTCACTTCTGTGCATTTCCTCATCGTTCTATAAGATCAGTTGTATATGTATTACTTGCAAAATGAAAGAGATCGTTTAAAAATGGGGAAGAAACAGCAAATGGGACTCAGAGGAGGCCGCAAACAACCAGGGTTCATGTCACTGGTGAACACAAGTTCCATTTCCGGAAAGCCCCCGACAGCTCCCGCCCTTGCCTCACGGTGGCTCCGCCCTCATGCGCTCAGGTCTCCACGACACAGCTCAAAGCCTTCTCTTCGGAGAACCCTCTGGGTGCTCCAGGCCTGATGACACGTGGTCCCACACTGGCTGCACCTAGAAGCTTAAGGGGCGCCCACGTCCCACCACCCGCCCACGCTGCAGGTCCGAGAGCTGGTGTGTGCTCATGGGCCCCCACATTTAGGACAGAGGCCCCTTTTTAACATTGAAATGGCCTGTGGTTTTAGTTGCAAGTGTTGTATCCTTTGATGAAAGCAGCTGATTCGTTATAGAAATCTACATTTCATAGATGTATGAGACATTGGCGACGTCGTGTTATTTCACAGAGTTTAACAGCGGTATATTTTGCGAAGCGCACATGAAAAACGCACACGCCAAAAACAGTGGGAGAGGTGCGTATGGATTCCAGGGCCCACTTCAGAAGCTGTGTGCGTGCCTGAGCACAGGGACTTAGAAAATCCTGAGGCTGGAAGGAAGGTGAAGGAAGTCTGCACAGATGCAGAGGTGGCTGTCACCTGAGGAGGAGGCTGTGAGCACCGCTGAGGCTCCGCAGAATTCAGAGACCGGAGAGAAAGAGAGAGACGGAAGGAAATGTCCCAGCACACGGGGAAAAAAGAGAACAGTGGAACGCATGTCACAGGGGACGGTGCCAAGATGGCCTTTATGGACTGAGGGCCTGCCAGGCAGCAGAGTAGAGCGGTTTGGTTTCTTTAAATACCCAAGGGCCCAACAATGGATAAAGGGGGGAAATGTGGTAAATTCGCATCATTGAGTATTATTCAGCCTTTAAAAAGGAAGGGAATTCTGACCCATGTCACAACATGGCTGAGCCTTGACATCATGCTAAGTGACTAAGCCAATCATAAAACAACAAGTACTGTGAGATTCCACTCCCAGGAGTGAGGGCGCTAGAGCAGCCAAGTTCATGGAGACAGAAAGAATGGTGGGTGCCAGGGGCTGTGGGGGNCGGGGGGCAGGGGGGTGGGGGGTTTTGTTGAGGGTGTAACAGGCTTTTTGTTTAACTGAGTTTCCGTGTTGCAAGACGGAGAGTTGTGGAGTCCGGCTGCACAGCAATGCGAATGTACGTAACGCTGCAGAACTGTGCATTTTTAAATGGCTGGCATTGTAAATTTTATGGGTTTTTTTCACAATTTAATCATAATTTCATCCTCAAAATAAATTATCATCCCGATACTGTAAATTATGCCAGTAATTAGGAAGTACATACTTCTAATTCAGTCTTTTTATCAGGGCGCCCTTCGCCATCTGTCGCTGGACTCGTCATGATCACAGGGCCACCAGCTTCCTGTTATTACCACAGACCCCAGTCATCTTCGTTAGGTCCTGACAAGGTACTGCACTGCCAAGCAGGTGCTGTGCACTGGAGTCTACCTGAGACTCTACCTGAATCTACCTGAGGGCAGGTAAAAAAAGCAGGGTTTCTGCAGGAATCTGAGCCCCTGGACAAGTGCCCCAGCGTTCCCACCCAGCACAGCCCCAGCAGGTAGCTGGGCAGGTCCTGGGCTCCACGGGGCATGAGTCACTGAGCAGGCAGATCTCACTCCCTCTGCCCCTCCGGGTCAAAAAGCTGGGTGTGCCCTGCAGAAACTACTTATAAAATGGAAAAACAAAAATGTGTAAAAACATTTCTGGCATTTAAAAGGTTGCCAATTAGCACTCCAAATGGTTTTAGCTTCAAACCATCACATGTTTACTGCCTACACTTCAGGGCAGCGCTTGCTAGTTCCCACGTCAGCTGGCACGCTCTGTGTCACCTGGGTTTTATTCTGAGCTCTTGTAGGCACAGCAGCAGGAGAGAATGCTGCAGACCTGCCCCCCTGAGACTCACGGGCTGTGACAGGGGGACTGCACGGTTGACACCACCTGGGTTGAGAGTCTGCATACGCCAGGCCAGAGCCAGGCAGCTGGATGAGAACCAAACTTCACAGGGACAGCCAGGCCCCGCCAGGCTGGAGGAGCCCTGTGCGGGCAGGGCCTGCACACTGAGAAGGGAAAACCACCATCTCCCCACTTCCCCAGAGCAGAATCCAAAGGGCACGCCCCTCTATGTGTCTCCTGTCCCTCAAACGTTTTCTTACTGACCAGCACCGGTGGACACTGAAGGCCACGGTTACGCTGATGCCAGCTCACCCAGCGACATGCTCTGTGATTTATGCCCATTTACATGCTGGCTGCCCTGGCAGGCAGCAGGGTAAACAGCATGTGCTTAAAGGGCATTTCAGAGAAACCAGGCACACCCGCTTCTCCTGGCTTCTGACCCACCCGTGAAGCCAGCTCTGGTGAAACCGGTCTGTTTATGTGGCAGGCGGGAGGGAGGTACCATTCTCGCCCCAGGTGCTTCTGCAGCTGGAACTGCTTCGTCCTGGGAGGGGGTCTGGCCGTTGTAAGGCAGCTGCGCTGGTCCTCAGGGGCGTCTTCCTGCCAGCAGCTGCACGAGGCACCTGCCTCCCCCTCTGAGGGAGCAGCCGGGGTCTGTGAGGCGTTCCCTGCGTCCCTCCTGCAGGACCGTCCACACAGTGCCCACTAAACGTGTGGCTCTGGGCCTCACCCAGACCTCCTGAGTCTGACTGCCTCTCATGACGCTCCCGGCTGATTGCATGGCACAGTAATTGCTGAGGGTCAGTGGTTTGGAGAGAGCATCCAACGGGACAGAAGTCACAGGGTTTTGATAATGCTCCATGGAACATTTTTATTTTGCACACTTATTTAACCTCCACAAGCAATGGCCATGTGTGCTGAGAAGACAGTTGCCCGCTTTACAAATACCTGGATCATTAGAAGGAAAAGCAACGGTAACGAGGGTGGCATTGAGGTTGGTGATGGTCATCACCTTCCAGTGACACGCTTCGCAAGCACAGTAAGAAATCGGAACTTCTTACACGTTCACCTGGATGCTGGCGATTTCAGCCCAGCGGCACCAGCACAGGAGGGGTGCGGGCTGCGTGGCAGACAGAGCTGGCTATCTGTGTGTGACTTCAGCCACTCACGCAGCCCTCTGCACTCAGTTTCCTTGTCAGGAAACCAGGAATGGCCTCATAGGATCGCTGTGCAGATCCAATGCAAACATGCTTAGCTCAGAGCCGGACCGGCGCGCCACCTCCTAACACATGTTAGCTCTTACATAACCTGCTACAACAATTAACTTTGTGAAAGAGGCTTCTTCCGTGCTGTATTTTGGTTTTATTTAATTTGTAAA